ATTGTTGAAAACTTGCGAGCAATTTTGGCAATAGTCTTAAAGATATAACCACGGAACGATTGGTCGCCAAATTCTCCAAGCAGCCTTCTATAAACTTCATTGGAATCAAGCGATCAACATTGAAGCATAAAAGATTACATAGCGCTTTTTCCGCTTCCAAGGCTAGACCTTCTCCTAGTTGACCTATCTTATCATCTTGAAGTAGATCCCATAACAGCGTGTTACCCGGTTTGCAAACTGTATCCAAATTAAACTGCGAGCTCAATCTCGTGGCCGCTTGTCGAGCGGTTCGCACTTGCGACTGCTGACAGACTGATCTTCTAATCGTCATAGTTGAGTGTGAATGATGAGGATGATAAGCTTGCATTTGGATAGCAGTTAAATGGCGAGCGGCTAATTGTGCCAGTTCCTCTTCGCAACCACTCTCTTCGCCGTCAAAGTCGGCCATGTTTTTTTCACTTTTGTTCGATATTCTACTGCTATAGGAACCCTCTTCGTCGGAGAGCATCTCATCCAATCCTGAAGGTAAAAATGTAGGACCAGACGCATGCACTAAACCAGCAAGCTCAGATATCACCGCGCCAGGACCATCCGCAGCAGCGAGTACACCCGCTACATCGCTATCATCCTCATCATGCGAACTGTCTCCCGAATCGGCCGTTCGATCCACGTTATATCCTACTATAGACATATATTTATTTTTATTGCGTCTCAATAAAGCTGCCGTGGTTGGAACTTGTTGTTCATTTGGATCTAAAGCCATTGCTTGTTGCTTAACGCGATCCAATGCGTCGACGCTTTTTGGCTCGTCCAAGGAGGCCAAAGCATCTAGACTACTATTTAGCATATCTTCCGTTCTGCTTTTCCCATCTACGAGAAGATCTTTTGATTTCGTATCTTGACCAACGATATCTTCCAAGGTTTTTTCAACGGCACTTAAAGAGCGCTTCTGTGGTCTCTTTCGTTTGCGCAGAATTTTTCGCTTTTTCTTCTCATGTACAAACATTTCCTCCGTATTAGACTTCTCCGTGTCCGCTTCAGCGTCAGATCCGCTCTGTTTGCTCTTTACCTCATCTCGAATAACATTCGTCGAGGAGTCCTTGGTTAATTCTCTGTTACATTCAAACTTATCGGAATTCAGACCTTCAATATCATTGAGACTTGATTCGATAGTGGTGGTTGTCAGATCCTTTCCTTTATAATGTCCTACAAGTATACAAACAAAATGTAAACAAACAAACCAAGATTTCATTTAACGAGTTACGTACCTTCGCCATCACTGCTGTAGCCTCTGGGTTGCTTTCTAGGTGATGGTCCATCTGATAACGTTGGACTAGGTTCCTCTTCATCATCTTCTGGACTGCTACCATCCATTCCGCTTGGATCACTGCTGCTACTTCCACCGACTCCACTTCCGGTACTCCTTAAAATTTCTCTGTTCTTCATTACTAAACCTCTTGGATAAGCGGAGCGACCGGATGTCCAAATAAATTTGATTAAAGCTGATGCAAGAAACAAACTCTGTTCTGTGTGATCTTTAGGTTCCAATTTGCCTAGCAGAGAGTACAAGTGAAGTACAGGAGTAGGAGCTAAATGTTTGACCAAAGGCGCCAACAGATCATATACCGGACGGCCGCAATGCTTCAACTGTGCCGCTTGCCACATAGTATCCATGTCCGAGGATGTAATTCTACCTTCCATAGCCAAAAAGCTTAATATAATGTGACTCTGTTTAATAACCTCTACGTGTAAGTTTGGTCCAAATATATGAGCTATGATGTTGTTTTCGGTCAGCCAAGCAGCAAGCGCGTGTCCCACTTGTTCGACCTCGGCAACAGCCTCGTTGTTGCAGACCTCATTAGACGCGGTAATGTGAGCATTTATTTGAGCTACTCCAGCCAGCCTCATAGTCAGAGTTGTACTAGTAAAATATTTAAATGCCAAGTCAAGCCCATCACGATCGAAACTTGGTAATACAGAGTCTATCGGATCCTTCACAGCAGTCCACATAAAATCTAAACATGCAACAAGAAACGTAGATATTCATATAAAAATGAAGAATTAGTTTATATATTCGCAAATGCGAATCAACAATACAGTACACATGTATAATATATTTTTAATTTCAGAAACATACCTGCCATGGTCCTAACAGCTGGTGTACGCAATTCCTTGTCCTCTAAACGACACATGTATTTCATAACACGACTGCGGAATGGTATAAACAGTTGAATGACACTGGCATAGTTTAACCAAAGTTTCAGATTACAAATAACTGCAACCATAGAATGCGCAAGGCTAACAGGCAGTGTGCTTTCCATGTCGAAACAAGCGGATACCAAATTAAAGCCTCCTTGATGGCAAAATATAGATACCGCGCGGATCAAAGGCGCCGGTACTTCGGGGTCGTGCGGCTCGCAGTAACCACCTTCGTCCTATTAATTTATAAAATAATCAACATTATTAATCGATCTAGAATGCAGATAAGTAATAAATTGAACAAAAGTTTTTACCTTGACGGGAGCTAAAGGGTTAATTACACCGCCGTGTTTCATTGCAATATAGAGAGGGAAATTGAGTAAAAAAATTTTCGAAAGTAGATGAAACAATCTTTCCTTTTCATATTGAGACCACAATCCTTGTTTCGTCTGAATTTCCACTTGTGCGTGCTCTGCATTGTCGTTAGATTTTCGCTTATTATTTTTCTCTTCCTCATCCTTTCCATCCTTAGGCGTCTCCTTAGCCACATCTCCCTGCTGTTCATTTTGCTGTATAACTTGCAATTGTTGTAACGTACAGAGCACGACACTCTGAGTTAGCCTTATAAATCGATCAAAATTTTTAATTTCGCGGTAACAGCACATACATTGTCTAGAAAAAAAGAAATCATAAAAATAATGATATTGCGTGATTAATATTTATGATAATAATGCATATAAAAATAATTATAAAAGTTAACCCTTTCATTGTGAGGAGTTAATAAATATTCATTACAAAAATATTGGTAGTGAAGATATGATTTTAATTAACTTATTGAAACAACTTTTCCACAGATTCTTAGCCAATTTATAACATTCTGGACAAATTAATTTATGTAATAAAACTGTATTACACATAAAAAATTTCATTTCTCAGCGTGAGAAATAATATAAAATCTAACTAAGAATATGCAAGGATTTTACAGTACAATAATAATTTATTTTAGTGTTTCTAATTTACAAATTAAAATAATAGTCTATAAAAAAAATAGTCTAGATGTAAGGATTTTTTATCAATATCTTGATTACTTTATTTACATTTTAATTAGATACTCCTTTTATTCTTTAATACTAAATTATTCTTTCTGTCCTTCCAATAAATCGATATATTATTCTTAGTTTTGTGAAAAAATTAACAAGCAAAAACATAAAAAAAAGTATTAAAGTTAATTAAATCCAACAATATACCTTTGCACCCACTGATTAACATAATGCAACGTTGTGTCCACATCTGTTACATACAATGTTGCCAATGCATCTTGCTCCTTCGACGAACGTTCGTCATCTAAAAAAATAATTTATCTTTATTACTCACAAAGAAAATCGGTACAAATACTTTAAAATACTATTCACAAAAGAATATGTTTTTTTTATCAGATAATTTTTCATCTCGCGTGACATAAATAAAGAAACGTACAATATTAGGTTATCCAACAAATATACAATATCAAAAATAATAAATATAAAATTTAAATTTTACAAATAAATAAATTAAACAATTCATTCAACAAGTTTATACGAATGAATTTAGAAAATTACGAACACCAGTCAATATCGCTTTAGAGTATCAAAAGATAAATCGTAAAATCTCCAGTGGAGAATTTCCGACAATGCTGATTGAATGAATGTTTTCGAACCTACAAGATTTTCCGACGAGCTTCGGAATCGTTATACAACCCACGTGTCTAATGTTCACATTTCTACCAATGTGGATTAACTTTAACTTGTTTAACGCTCTTCATCTTTTTCTAAGAGCTAGAAAAACATAAAAAATATATTATAAATCAAGATTAAAGTGAATCTACACAGGTAGAAAGACCTAAGAAAACGTGCTGCTTTTGTTCGAAAACTCCTTCGTAATTCAAAAAGCGCCAGTGTAACGTTCGGTTGAAAATTATAACAAAAAATTATTTATCCATTTAGGAAAATGATACGGAATGTAGAAACGTTGGTAAGAACAAAGCGAGACTCAACGTTCTCGGCTACGGTCTTTGAACGAAAGACTTGGCCGACGGTTAAGGTTATAAGACGCTACCTCGCTTGATCATATTTCATGCGGACAAGACGTTTCGATAATAAAGAAGCGAGAACGTGTCGCGACGGCGTTTCACCGTTCCTCCAGATTAATTTCTTCGGAGGTGAAATCCGTCGGCGAGATCTCGGCCGCGAACGCGAATCCATTCAGATAGGTTAAGAATCGGCGGGGGGGAGCCAACGCTACTGTGGGTGCAATATTATCCACTTACAGGAGAGCAGAAGATCGTGAAAATCGACGCACACATCGCACATGGTGCCCGGATTGTTTTAGCCTAGCGAGAGGCCCTCGGTCACGTCAAGTTCATCACTCGCGCTCACCGACGCACGTTGCCGACAACGATAAATATTATTAAACATCCCCCGTGTGCGCTCACGACTGTTCCCTGACGGTCACCATATTGCTTTTTGTGTGCGTACACTCGCCGCTCACTTCAAGCGAGGCGCGTCGCTTCGCCCTCGCGGAGGAGTCGCCTTCGTCAGCACTCAGCTCAGCTCTCCGAAAAGGTTACGGATGCGACGACGACACGTGTCACACGTCGCCGTCCGTTGCGCGGCCCGCGACTTCGTATCTGCGATCGTTCGTAAACGCGTGCACGCTCCACGCCGATCGGGTCAATTAAATTTTATCGGTTTGTGGGCTCGTCGCGAACGTCATTGTGACAGAAGACAGCTGATCGCCACCATGTTGAATCCGCGGTGCGCGTTGCGATTTAAAAATCCATTTGCACTTTCCCGGAAGCGGCCGCGCGCGCGATCTGTTACGTGCGCGATGCAACGTAAACGTAAAGAGAATAGTGGAGAACGAATGGACTAAAACCACTAAAACTAACTGAAGGCTGAAATCTAAAACGAGACTGTTATCTTCTCTCTCTCTCTCTCTCTTTCTCTCTCTCTTTCTCTCTTCTTTTTCCCTTCTCACTCTTTGTACATACTTCTTGAAATATTATCTATATTTTCTTCACGCTACTTGCTCGTGGAAAAGCTAATTCATCCTCCTTCCAGAGGATTTTTCAATCTCAATGCTATACAAGATATATTTTTTCCTTTATGATATTATGTTTGAGTTTTTTTATGTTATGTTTAGCACTTTTATCGTTTCTATATGTTTCATGCTGAGAATATTAGATAAGCCTTTAAAGCGTATTTTTATCTATAAGAAATTCGTATCATATCAGGCGAAACAATTAATGAATAAAAAAGCGTGTCTTTAATTTTTATTTTATCTGTGATAATTTTGTAAAAAAAAATCCATCGGCTTATCACGCGCTTTTGCAACAATGTAAAGGATGTAAACAAATCCTGATATGAGTGAAGAGGGGTGGGGGAGAGATAGGGAGGGGAGGGAGGGAGAGAGAGAGAGAGCAGTTAAGAAATGATATTGTAAAGAAACTTCATGTTTAGAAGAGTGTCGCTGTTGACAGATGTACGACAGCTGATTCCTTCGCATCTCTTTTGAACTGTATTCTAATCAACATTTAATGGCGAGTCATCAGGAATGTATAAACTGCAAGCACCCTGTTTCTTAGAATTTCCTATTGCGTTCCGCAATACAGCAATTATGGAATATTGAATCTTATGCAAATTTCATTGGAGGCAACTTTGAACAAACTCCGATTAATCGCACTAGCGAGCAATTTGTCCAATCATACCTACAATATTTTATTAAGGTTGATATTAATTTTTTAAATTTTATATACAAAAGATCAACAAATTAAACAGAAATTGTAATTTAAACAATTATGCCGGCTGAATCAATTATCTAATTAAGTTAAGAGAATTAATATAATTATGAAATCATAACATATAATGGAATATGCTATCCGGGTCTGTTCTTTTCAATCCTTTTCTTTTATGTTGTAAAATTATAATATTTATAATTGTAATGTTTATAGTTTTAATATTACAGTTTTGCATATTTTAGTATAAACTTTTGTAGTCAGAAAAAATAAAAATCGAAAATAATATTGAAATAAATAATAAAATTTAATAATAATAACAACTGTATAATAAAATAAACTTTCTATATTCATAGATAAGATTGTACGTTTATCGCTTGTTCTTGGCATTTAAATATATCCAAAAATTATTTTATATAACTGAAATGTGTGTGAAACAATAGAAATTATTTAAAAATAGATAAATAAACAATATAGATATTTGATATTTTTCAGTGCTCTCTCCTCTTTAATTGGAGTTTGATCAAAGGAACGCGAAGTACTATAGGATGTGTAAATAATAAAAGATTCTTTCTTATTTAAGAAGACACACACAGTGTAACATAGTGAATCATTGCATCCTTGTTATTTGTCAATGTTAAACAAAGGATAAAATGGTCACTGGGCTATATTATGTCCCTTGCTGATAAACACCAAATATAATCAAATAGGAAAATAGACAAGAGTACGAGGATCGGGGAACGGTGCATACAGCACTGATGGAGGCATCGCTCGGAGCGCGCTGGCGTTCGACGGAGTCTGCAATAAACAAACTCCAAGTGATCTCCAGGTAAAAAAGCGTATACGTCCGATACTCTCTCTCGTTGCAACTACGATCGCGAGAAATCGCGCTGTCAACAGTCGAGCGGCATCGGAGGGCGAGCTAAAATCGTGCGAACGTCGCGGGAGCAGCCGTCGAAGGAACGCCGCGGAGATGGGCAGCACGGACAAGGCCGTGATCACGGGGTTCATATGCAGGCTTTGCAGTAAGATGAACCGCTTCGTGATCCACATCTACGGGGAAGAGGGCGAGAGAATGAAACTCGCCGAGAAGATAAACACCTATCTGCCGATTACGGTAATTTCTACATGTCGTCCTGTATCACACAATCTTCCAGGAACCGCGTTAGGCATTTCGCCCGGTGCGAAACTTGATCGATCTCCGCCTCTCGCACTTTGCACAGAATCTTTTTCCAGAGACAATGCAAGTATCTACGAAAAGAAAAAAAAAGATCTCAAGTCTATATAACTATGTAGGTATCCTGTTTTTTTTTTTTTTAAGTTTATACCACTTCACCTCCTGATGTGTTTTACAAATACAGGGCATTGTCAGATTTTGTAAGAACTATCAACACTGTCTTTTTTTCAAATTATTTTCTATCACCAATCACTTTATCATCTATATAATTTGATATTTAAAGAAATATAAATTATAATAAAACAATTTTGTATGCATTTGTACAGGTAAACATGAATGACCCGCTACCAAAGACTGCATGTTTACATTGCATCGAACGATTAGAGGCGCATCATGAGTTAATGGAACAAATCATGTACACCAGGCGGAGATTAAACACCGATAATAAGGCAACTGCAGTAGCATCCTCTTCCGCGACAACCGTAGACACAGCTCCAACATCTAGCCCACCTCCTTGTTGACATGTGCAATGGAACATAGTATATCCTTTCGCTCAAAGCGCCATTCGCCAAGCTCGGATGATTCCCATATAATTTTTCATTTCATTTTAACAGATTATAAGTGAAACGTGTAAAGAAAAGGACAGAGGGTGAGGTAAAATGTAACATTACATTTTTCTACGTAAACACGATATTTTCATGTTACATTATTCGTTTCAAGTATTCATTAACGGTATTAAAGAAAATTATTCAATGCCAATGTCCATTACTACTATTTTCTGAGGGAACAAAATATCTCAAAAATATAGAAAATAATCAAACGGAACAAAAGAAATATAACGTTGCACAAAGAATTACATTTCTTTATGTGTAACGTTATATGTGTATATAAGCAGTGTTAATTTTCAATTTGAACAAATTATATGAGGACATTTTTTTCTTGCTGGTCTATGGTTAATAATGAGCAAACTATTTGGAAGAAAGTAATACTTTAAATGTTCTGGGCAAGCGCAATAATATTGAGATAATCGAAAAAATGCATATATGTGTACAGACGCAACACACATACATACATATGCATATATATTCACATTATAGGGATGTAGAAGATATCTAGCAGTATCCAAAGTATTCACTGTAATTTTAATATTCAGGAGTTTTGTATAATATAGATATACCTCTGATCAAGTCTCTCTTATTGAAAAAAATTATCAAAACATTAATGAATTGCTTTACTTTTTAATTATTAAAAATATATTTAACTTTAAAAATAAAAATATGTATATACTCCGAATCTTCAAAGAAACTACAAAGTAATAATACAAATCATAAATTTTGATAAAAAATTAAAATTTTGGATTTGCATTGTGTAAAAAATAGTGATCTGTATTATATAAAGATCTATTGAGAGAAAAATGTCGAATGTGCAATTAAAAATGATCAAATCAAATTTCGATCATGTTAGCATAATAAATGATAGATAAATATCCTATATAGGAGACATTAAATCTAACCAAATTCGTTTACAAAATTTAAATTTTATATCTGTTATTTTCGAGATATTGTATATTTGTTCCAGTTATATAGCGGCTGTTTTTTTTATTTATAATCTTGCTTTACTACTGTGGATACGCGATACTCAATGCATCTCTTACAATTAGACACTACACATACACACACACAACAAACGCGCGCGCGCACACACCACACACATATATATACATATATATATATATATATATATATTATTTTATGAATCTTACAATAATTTTTCTTTAAAAATGTTTTATAAGATTCTTTAACTATCTTTAAGGAGATACTGTTGTATCTTTAACGTATCAATTCTACTGATGTACAAAGATATATATTATACTCTTGGAAAACAATCTTTATGCGATACCATATTGTATAATGTAGAAATATCTTAGCTATAAAAAATTAGAGCGTGTAAAATTAAGATATGGAAACTTATACTTATGATACATATAAAGAAGTAAGTCATATATATTTTAGTCATTGATTTTCACAATAAAATTTTCTGTTATTCGTTATGTTGATACACAGAACAAGTGATAAAAGAGATATTGTATATTATGTATTATTATATGTTTGTCATTAATGGTGCATTATGTTAATTAATTGCGTTTATAATCGAAAAAGATATCTTATTAATCAAATACAAGTAAGTGCAAAGTACAATAACATAAATATTTGTATAATTATATTGTATTAACAAGTAATTTTGCGTAAGTTTTACACAGATGTTAATCTGTTTATCTTTGTTTGCAAGCTATAATGTAATAAATAATATGTATAACAGATTTTTAATATAATTTGCAAAGTTATTTCCATTTTCATTCTACCTTTCGATACATTTTGATATATTCAGGATTTATGTAAATAAAAATGCAGGAGTAACAATTAATATACGAGAAAGAATGTTTTTTTTTGTTAAGATAAGATTTATTTTTTATTTACTGACACAGTTAAATGTTATGTGAAACAATGGTATTTTACTGTTTGGCGATGCAAATTCGCCTTGTGCTTATTATTATGTACTATTTCACATTATATGATTTACAGGAAGAATAATTATTTTCAAAAGACAAGAGAAAGAGAGAGAGGATGCATTTGTTATATTTTTAATGTTTATCATAATGTAGTATACTGTTGATGTGTAATATTTGAAATCGCAATCATATGCTGCGTTCATCGCTTTAAGTGATAATCTGGATTAAACTATACAGAATTGAGATTCGATAAAATATTTCATCATCAATTAGAACTATCCAATTAATAATAATATACGTAATACATCTCTATTATCTCATATTACGTTGATATGTTTTCTTCTTAATCATCAATTTACAATTTACAAATTAATCTTTAATCTAGAACTTGCCATAAAATAAATTTTAAAGTAAATAACACAACCAAATAATTATTATACATTATAAATGATATATTAATAATATATTTAAATTTAATATTTTTTAATAAAAAAATAAAAAATTTGAAATTTTTTGTCGTTCATTCAAAAGCTCCGATTGTAATTATTTTTATATGTATATATATTATATATTTTAATAATATATTTAAAAATATTAGGATAAATTTTAATTAATAATATTTAAATGTATGAAATATCGTATATGAATACTTATAAATGTAATTATCATAGTAAACATTGCACAATTATACTATATTATTTAAGATATTTGCATTTCCATATAATCCAAATTATCGATAACAAGATTTATGTACGTCTATATATATATATCTAAAAAATTTTATAGACACACATACACGCGACACACATACAATGTATGTAAGTATTAAGAGAGTACATATAAAATTTTGTTATCTTTTCAACCTAATTTTATATTTTTTTACAAATTTATCTTCATCATTTGATTTATATTTTCGCGATGCGTTCTTACAATTAACTTTCACTCTTTTTGCGTTTGTCTAATTTCTCTATACTTGAAGCACTCTTCGACATGTGTGTTGAAATACAAATATAAATGCATCTCTGATGAGTTTCCAATACGTACAACACTAATGAGTATATAATAATTATTCAATGATGATTGACAAAGTACAACGGTAGCTAAATATAATATGGAAATCGGTAAACTAATAGATAGTAGATAAAATATCGTTGAGCTGCGTTCACGATTACTGCAGTCAATCATGAAGAGAAAAAAGAAAATGTCGTACATCTTGATATCTTTTCACGAGAAATATATTAATTTACGTATATCGATATGTCGAAGCTGCGGTTTACTTAGAGCTATGAATGCTTCGAAGCGATCGATTGATCAATTAGAATAAAGAAATCTATGTTTCAAAGCGTAACACCAAATGCATCGCGATCAATATCGATTATACAAATCATATATTCTTGTATTTTTTAATAAAATATCATTTTTACAAAGTTATATACATAAATTCAAATACACATGGTATTCTTTCCTTTTTGTCTACTAGTTTGCAGTCTAAAAATTGTCTTTATTTTATATATGCATATTAATATACAAATACTTTCTCACCAACATTTACAACGTACAAACATATGTATTTGTGTTCATACCCACAATACAATGCTTTACGAAATTTTGCTAGCTTTAATATTTACATTTTTTTACTACAACATCGAAGACGCAATTTTACAAATCCTTCTTATATATTTTTTATCTTTTCCTCAACACTTTGTGAAAACAGCTCAACTGCAATCGATATAATCGTACTCGAAAAACGGAAATGACAGCTTATATAATTATTTGTTCCCCCAAAATGTCTTTACAGTAACGTATTGATAATGCTTTCTCAGCCTTTTTTTTTATAAGAAAAAAAGGGAGGAAGAGAAGTAACAAAATAAAGAGCATCAGTTTTCATAATTTGTACTTTGTATTCAAACGTGTGAAGTGATAAAATGAGATAAAGAGTTTTAGCATTTAAGCGTTTTCTAACAAGAGATTAGATTGATAAACAACAGGGTGATTCACTATGTTATACATAATGTACATTGTTAGTTACATCGTGCTGTCTTGTCCCTTGTTGAAAAACGCCATTAACCTAGAGATAGTGAACACCCTTAAAAAGAGATTAACGAAATATGTAATGTACAATAACACAACTATATTGTATATGAATGAATTTATGGAACAAACGCATCCTTGCACTATATTTTACGACTATATCTACAGTTTATTTAAATAAAGATTATGGACAAATGTTAATGTACCTAAGCTATAATACACAGATAAAAACTGTCATGAATTGTCTGATGCATTGCGTGATTGCATGATTCCCGTGCCAATTGAATAATGCTTACAATAGTCACATTTAGTACTCGAAAGAATAATCTTTCAACGTTGTCTATCACGAACAAGCCTGCTGCATTTCTGCTTTAGCTGCTTTCATTGCTGTAACAGAATATTTTTACATTAGTTCTATGTCAACGAGACAGATGTGAATGAGAATGAATTTTTTTTCGATTGTATGTAGTATACGTTTGTTAGTAAATGATATTATTAAGTGATACATGATATATTATGTTATAAAAATAAAATTATAGTCATGTGGAGTTATTAACATTGCTTGGAGGGAAAGTATGAAAGAATATCATTAGATTTTTACCTTCTCGTTCTCGTCTTCTTAATTTCTTTCGACGTCTTTCTATAGTAGCGAGTTCAACCTTCACGGCATTATATGTCTTACGTAAGTCGGATAATTTCTGCTGTAGTACAGCTATCCTTTGACTACCGTCCAATTCAGGATCTGTGAAAATAAAATATATAGCAACATATAGATTAGTTTCAGAAAATATTCTTGCTAAGGATTAAAAGTAATCAAACGAGCAAAGATCCTCACTATGTTTAACATGATAAGCAAACAAAAAAATATGGTTACTCAACGTACCCAATTCGACATAAAAATTGTACTTTGTTGGTCTCGGTGATCTTGACGAGTAAGTACTGAGATCGGGAACGTTGGTGATAGTGCTCGTGTGATTCGTCGACGTGTTATTGACGCTACAGAGATTGAATCCCTCACTAGTGTCATCGCTGTCGCTCCCAGCTCCGTATCTACCATGCCTACCATTCTGTCTGCCAGATTTTTTCGGAATAATCCCGCCACTGCTGCCACCGTTACCACCACCATTACCACTGCCATTGCCACTGTCATTACCACCGCCGCCACCACCACTAGCACCACCATTGCCGCCACCGCCACCACTGCTATTGCTATTGCTACTGCTGCTACTGCTGCTGCTGCTGCTGCTACCGCTGCCACCAGTGCTGGCGCCAACGCCTACGCCAATATCAACGCCAACACCAACGCCAACAC